CTGATCAGTTGTTCTGTCAGAACAATACTCTGTTTGTAACCATGCGTCATGTTCTGTTAATAAATGCTCTGCAGAGGAGATAAAGTGTCTCTCTTCAGCCTTTGAATTTTATCTCTTTTTCTTTGATTGGATTAAATATTATCTTTACATTGTGTTTTTCTCTAAACTTGAATAATTTGGGTTTTATTGTTGCTCTTTGTTTGGTTTATCAGTGGAATCTTTCTTTCCCCATTTTTCTTTCACAGCCAGATACAGTAACCTGACTGTACGTAGCATCAATGCATATAAAGATCCCAAAGTAAGCCAGACCCTGATTTGTGAGGCTACCGGTGGCTACCCAGAAGGCAACCTGAGATGGATTGTTGAGAACAACACAGACTGGACGAAAAGCTCCAAGCAAACTGCGACCAAGATGGAAAATGGTCTGTTGAAGATGCACAGCGAGCTGCCCCTGCTGAAAGGGTCTACCTTCGATCGATACAGCTGTGTGCTGTTCAATTCCAGCGGTGGCAGACAGGAATCTGTCCTCTTCACACTTCATAACCAAGGTAAGTGTTTTTCTAACACCTTTCATAAAATACACACATTGGTTAAAGATTAGTCAACCAAGAGCCGACTGTGCATGTTTTTCTTTGCCTGCGGGGGGGTTGAGGAAATGCCAAAAGGTCTACCAGAAAACAGAAATGTGAAGCAGTTATGGATGGAAGAAAAACAGTCTCATTGGAATCTGCCTTTTTTTGTACACAGAATTTTAAACGCTGATTTTTGTTTTTGCATTACATTTTTTACACATTCCTTACAATGAATATTTATCTGGTGAAAATTCAGATAAATATCACAGCTAGTACGGCACCCCCGTTTGCCAAGGCTCTTGGTTTGATCCGGAAGAAGCGGCCGACGGCAAAGATTTTGTTTTTTTTCTGCCCAAATGAGTTAAAGGAATAGTACACCCAAAACATGATTAGCCTTCATTTTCTACTCACCCCCATGCTGAACAACACTCTGGAGTACTTTTTTGATATCTCAAATGCATCTGGAGATCTGGGAGGCTTCTTGCTGTCTGCTGACATTCAAATAATGGAGGTCTATGGCGCCCGAGACAGAAAGGTCCATAAAAGTCCACAAAAAACGTGTCAATATTCCTCCATACTGCTCGTCCAATGTATTCCAAGTGTCCTGAGTGGGTAGCGTCCAGAATTTACTTGAAACGAAGTCATTTAGAATGTTTTTAGAGCATAAACAGTAGTGTATAGGATTTCCTGAAAGCGCGTTCACGAGTCTACGGAAACCGCGGCAGACCAAACCAGATGAAAGTGCGCATTCAGCGTCTGCTCTGCCGATAATGCAAGCGTAGAAGAAGAAATGTGCTGTTTACCTGTGCAAAGAAAGAAACAACGAAAGAAAAATGTCTGAGGACTTCAGTGTTGAGGAAGAGCATGAGTTCTTTGCCGAGCTGAATGCGCACTTTCATCTGGTTTGGTCTGCCGCGGTTTCCGTAGACTCGTGAACGCGCTTTCAGGAAGTCCTATACACTACTGTTTATGCTCTAAAAACATTCTAAATGACTTCGTTTCGAGTAAATTCTGGATGCTACCCACTCAGGACACTTGGAATACATTGGACGAGCAGTATGGAGGAATATTGACACGTTTTTGTGGACTTTTATGGACCTTTCTGCCTCGGGCGCCATAGACCTCCATTATTTGAATGTCAGCAGACAGCAAGAAGCCTCCCAGATCTCCAGATGCATTTGAGATATCAAAAAAGTACTCCAGAGTGTTGTTCAGCATGGGGGTGAGTAGAAAATGAAGGCTAATCATGTTTTGGGTGTACTATTCCTTTAATTTCATCGGCTAGAAGCTGCTCGACTGCATCCAGTCGATTGCTTTGGTTTGAATTCACCAAAAGGTCGACACATTTGCAGCTCAATTTTCACCAGATAAAAATTAAATGTGAAAAAGATTCATTATTTAAAATTTGGTGTCCAGATTCAGATTCCAACAAAACTGTTTTTCTTCCATAGTTATGGAGCATGAAAAGACAAAGGTCGTGTAAAATTCAACAGAAAAACAAGGAGTTTATCGAAGCTGAACCATCTTCTCTGCGTCACTGAGGGATGGTTTTCTTTTGTCCGTAAAACCACACGTCTATCGAGACTCAGAAGTAAACAGACATGCTGGTTCTTGTCCCTGTAGGCCTGTCAGGGCCTGCCAGATTAGACGAGGCAATCCCCAGTGGAAAATAAAACAGTTTCATCTCTCATGGAAAATTCTTCCAGCAGACCTGTTGGCTAACTCACCTGTGCTCCATCTTTCTTCGTCTGGTTAAAGCTGCTAAAGCAGCAGATCTTAGTTGAAGACGTTTCAGAATCTTTTCCTGTTTTCTTTCATTATTGTAATAAAAGTTTTACATTTTGCTCCACAGATCTCCAATCCGGGTCTGATCAAAAAGCGGAACAATCAAAATCTACATCAGCAATAGTTGCTCCAGTGGTGGTCATCGGGTCACTGATTGTGGGGTTGCTGCTGGCGCTGCTGTTCTTTAGAAGACGATCTCAAAGTGAGTATATCTCCGATTTTTCACTCTTATGATGTTTTTAAATGTCTTTGGAGTAAAGATAAATGTCGTCTGAGGAACCTGCACTGGATGTTTGGCTGCATGGTTTTGGGAGCAGGGATATGAGTTTTGGTTGATGGGATTTCGCCCATATGGATGTTTTTTTTGGTCTGGGAGGAAGTTCCTGACCTCGGGTCGTTTTCCTGCATGTCTGGTTGTTCGTTTGTTTGTTTCTCGTCTGATTGGTGTGAAGTGAGACCAGCTGGTCACAAAATGTCACAATAAGCAAAGGATGAAAATATGCAAATCATGTCTGAACAATCTGGACACATTTAAAAGTAAACATTTATATTTTAATATTAACATAGCATTTTTTTCTTAAGATTATTATTTTTGTTAACAGGTTGGTATTGAATTTTTAATGGAATGAAAACTTTAATTTGAAAACAAAAATTGTGAAATATGATCCAATTACTTTTATTTCTAACAGAAAAAAAGCAATTTTCCTTTTTCTGTAAACATTGTTTAATCGTGTCTAATTTACCAAAAGAATTAAGGAAAGTTCTAGAATAAGCAAAATAAAATATAAGAGACACTAGACATGATTCCTAGTTTAGTTTTTAGTTGTTTTATCTGCTAAAAAACAAAAAACAAAAAGAGCAGTTTATTTTTACATCGTCTGCTGCTAAAAACTGGTTGAACTTCTTTGCTATGACTGATGATGGAAAACAAATTTCCAGGATTGCTTAAAGCTGCAGGAATTGCATCAGAACTCCTGCAGCTGTTGCTTCATCAGCTCTTAGTAGGAAAACTCAGCATGTCATCTTACAACCCTTTTTTTTTTTTTCAAGAGTCTTTCTACATAGTTAGCATGTTCTCCCTGAGAATGCGTGGGTTCTCTCCGGGTACTCCGGCTTCCTCCCACAGTCCAGAAACATGACGGTTAGGTTAATTGGCTTCTCTAAACTCTCCTTAGGTGTGTGTGTGTGAATGGTTGTTTGTCCTGTTTGTCTCTGTGTTGTCCTGCGACGGACTGGAGACCTGTCCAAGGTGGACCCCGCCTCTCGCCTGTAGACAGCTGGGCACCACCACCCCCCGCCATCCCACTTGGGATAAATCTTGATGGAAAATAAATGGATGTTTTTCCAAGTCAGATTATTTAGATCAGAGAATATTCAATTCTATTCAGTTTATTTCTATAGCTCCGATTCACATCATGTCATCTCAGGTCACTTTCCAGTTCAGATCATCCAGTCAGATTGATTCAAAGTTTTCTTTCTAAGGAAAACCAGCTGATTGCATCGACTCATATATTGAAACTTAAGACATAAAATATTGACGCAATATTGAAAATGAAGCTTTTATTCCAGTATTAACTTTTTTTTTCCTACTGTCTGAATCATTATAGGTTTTAATTGTCACTGGTTGAACCTCATTTTACTGCAGATAAAAGGTCCAGTTTGGCCACTTTGTTTCGTTTGTGCCAAGTATTATTATCAGACCTTGACCAAGTTATATATTAATAGGTGTGATATAAATGCAGCTAGTTGTTAATGGACACAGCAGAGAGCAACGTACTCAAAGTGCGAGATTTCATCACTTCCTTCCCCATTGCTAATAATGATGAAACACTGTTTGCAGGACAAACCTGCATAACAGCCAACGAGTGAGAACACAGGCTGGGAAAGTACCTCCTAATCAGATGAAGGAGCCTATAGGCTGCAGACTTTACACAACTTTAAATGCTGTAGCAAGAATAGATTGTGTGTTTTAAAAAAAGGTAGATAGGTTGTTGTTTCCAGTGACTGCCTACCCCCCCGTCATGTTCTGACTTTTTTTTTTTTTTTTTTCAAATGTCTGACAGAACAGCGGAGGCCATCAACTGCTCCTCTGATGGGTATGTCCATGTTTGGACAAGCTGTTAAAGCTCCTTTTCTTTTCCAAATGGGCATAAATGGCTAACAGTAGTTTAAAGATTAAACCAAACAACCTTTTCTGCTCACATTCCTCTCAGTCTTTCTATAAATCAGCTGAACCTTTTGGTGTTGGACGTTTTTAAAGTGTGATTAGTTGAGAGAAAATGTAGATGACTTAAATATAATCCAGATGTGTTGCAACATGTGGGAACTTAAAATGAATCACAGATGGATTCCTGGCCTGGAATCTCTGCTCTCCTCACCCTAAACTTCCTGTTTTTTCCTTACGTTCCAAAATAGTTGAAGGCTGTAAGTAATTTCTTTGTAATCAGTAGTGTTAGGATAAAAAAAAAAACCACAGTTTTGTCTTTAATTATAAAAAAGGAGAAGCTGCGCCAAAAATGACTTTAGGTGAAATGTTATAAAAAGCGCCCCCTGCTGGCGGAAAGTAAAACCTGTGGTTTGAATGTGGGTCATTACAACATCTGAGATACTTACTGTAAATCCTCTAATATAGGCCGGGGCCTTTATTTCACTCAGGTGCATCTTGGTCCAGGCCAGAATTAGAGGCAGGCCTCTATTGCTATTTGATCAAAACAGACGACCAGTGTAATGAATAAAAACAGTTTGTTTCTCTTTGAACCGATAAAATACCAGGTTCATTTATTGAAAAAGTACAGTTACTATAACGGTATACAGAACATTATTCAGACATCTTCCAGCAGCTGCAATTTTTCTGCACAGCAATACGAAGAAAAAAAGGACACAGAATGGAATCTTGGTGAAACAAAGTTTTAAAATAAATTAATGGAAACTGTTCTGCCATCACAGCCGGTCATAAAAACCAAACAATCCGGCCTCCTGTCTGCGCTAACGATGGTACTTCTCATGCTAACGGCTTGGATTGGTTAGCAAACACTGCCCCCCTGTGGTATTTGCATGTTACTATCACAGGTTGTTGAGGACTGCCCAGGAACATCGTTGGTTCCAATTATAGCCCCGGCCTGTATTAGCATCCGGCCATTATTAGAGACCCGGCTGCTAATGGAATACAGGCCAATATTAGAGGATTTACGGTAATTCAATAAAAGCATAACAGAAAAGCTAGTTGTGAATTTGAGGTGTTTGGATCTTCAGTTTATTTCTATACCTCCAATTCATCTCCAGCAATCCCTCACACTAAGCATGCTTGTAGCGACAGTGGAGAGGAAAAACTCCCTTTGAACAGGAAGAAACCTCCA